GTGTGATACTGCATCTATTTAATCAATTTTCCGCCCACATTCCATTAAAAGCAATCTGAAATTGAACTAAATTTGCAGAATTATATCCTCTCATGAGATTGTAACACATGCCAAATTGAAGACAAAACATGGGATTTTTTTTTTTTTTTGTCGTTAGAGATTTGCCAATAACATTTTATTTCTTGGCAGAATTGAAAATAATGTTCAAGCAGAGTTGACTCTTCTGAGGGGATAAATCTGCCAGGTTTCAGATGATTAGGTTCAAAGGTTTTATTTTTGGTATCCTGGTTAATGAAAAATGTTGTTAAGACAAATGTCCAAAAAGAAAGAAAGAAAGAAAGAAAGAAAGAAAGAAAGAAAGAAAGAAAGAAAGAAAGAAAGATATAAAGCTGATTCACAGTAGAGTTTTAAAAATAAATACGTCAAATGGCCTGCTGTGATACTCTTCATTTTCAATTCACTAGTGACTCTTTGATCAATGTATGAAAAGTCTTCAGTACTGTGGCCTTCAGGCTAATGAATTAATCTTCAGACAGCTCTTATGATGATTTGCAACCCTTGAACTAAAGGATGGAACCTAGAATTGTGCCTTTTTCTACAAATGGTCACATCTGTTAGATGCGAGTGAGGACAATTCTAAACTCTTTCTGGTGGTTCCAATCCAGATGCAGCCACCTATGTCTATATCTTGTTATATAAAAATGGTCTCATTTCTTTAATTAGGATCCCTTTCATACAATTCACTTGTAGATGAAAATTATAGATATAGAAAATTACTTTTTATAATAATTTAGATACTACAAAAGAAATAAATTTAAATTTATACATATATCTGACGACGTATGTATATCTTGTTGGGACACCTAAAACACTGAAACAAAAAGCTCAGGTTCATCTTCTGATTTAGAAGAGCAATCAGTTTAAAATCCATAAGACTATCTGGGAAGTAATTTGGAAAGAGAATAAGCCCCATTAAGGAATTTAGTAGCATTTTTGTTCTTTACTATAATGTCTTAAAATATTGTTGCTTCTTACAAAAGGTTTTGGTGAAGATAAATTAAAGGTTTTACAAGATATGTAGTTTTTGGGAAACTGACCTTGGTAATGCATTATAATGAATATTTCTATGCATGCTTGTTGCAGTCTGTTAGCATTGTTAATGACTGATTTTAAAAAAGTTTATTTCACAATAGCATTCTTACCTCACTGCCTGCACACCACAGAAATACACAGTCAAGGTTGGAATATACTTCTTATAGCTGACCTTTTTGATTTCGGAAAATTTAGTAGACTGGGACCCCTCCTCCACCTTTCTAGCACCCCTTTCTCAATTACATATGAATTGACTGAGACCACTAATCCATGTAATCCGGTACCTGCTACTTTGAGTGACTACAGCTCTCCCAGGCTTTCCTTTCCAACCTCTTTTAACTGAAAATGCTACACAAGGAATCTTAGACCTGAAACAATACACTGAGGAAATCACTGAAATATTCACCTGCAACTTCACTAAAATGTTTATTTTAAGTGTGTGAAATCCACCATTAAGAAATGATTTATAGGTAACTCTGAAGGATTTTTAAAGTTCTAAGGAATCACCTGTGAGTTGGCTTGTGACTGTGGTAATGATCTCTAGTTTACGATACTGTTAATTTGATCCAGTTTAGATTAGAGATTAAGGTAGTAGGCAAGAAAGTGAGAGACAGAGTTCTAGTGCCACTTTAACCAAAAGCCAGCTGGGTGACCTTGGACTCTCTCTCTCAGCCCAACTCACCTCACAGGGTTGTTGTGGGGAAAATAGGAGGAAAAAAAGGTGTGTTAGATATGCTAGCTGCCTTGAGTTATTTCTAAAAAAATACAGTAAAAGTGGGATACAAATAAAATAAATCTCATTTCAGAATGGAGATACCAATTTATTGGGGTTATGATAGGAACAAAAATATCATGGGTTATTCTTAAACTCACAGGCATATCTTAAGTTGTCTATATCCTGTTCCTTTTGTATTAACAATACAAAATTGACAATAATGCAATGGTTTTTAGTGAAGAGATTCACTCCATTATGTGTTAAAAAAAATACAGAGCAAATATGAAATGGTTTGGGAAAATACTAGGATCATATTGTAAAATGACCCAAAACACATTGTTTAATAGAATTAGTTGCAAATAAACTCTTAATTATTGAGTAGCATATACAGTTCCCATATATAATGACACATTTTTGGGCAGTTTTGAAATGCATTTTAAAGAATTTAACAGAAAATTTGACAGAAACACATATTTTAAGAGAAAATACAGTTTCAAATGTAGAGTTAACTACAAGGTAAATGATATGGTAGATAAAATAATTGCAGGTTGATGAAAAACCAGGATCAAATATTATGAGTAAACACATGTGAAAGTGACCGAGATTAGAAATCCTGGCCCTTCCCAACTGGTACTTTCTGCATATGATGAAGATCTAACTTCATATTTTGTACATAGCATGGCTAATAGGAGTTGTAATCCAGCACATCTGAAAGACACTCGGTTTGGAAAAGCTGACCCATCCACATAGAGCAGGAGTTCCTAGAGATTTTTAGTCAATGGATGTTATTCTCAAAATGCCAAATTCAGGGCTGGCTTAAGTTCTTTGTAGGCTGTAACCATTCATTCATTCATTCATTCATTCATTCATTCATTCATTCATTCATTCATTCTGCTTTTTAAGTAATATATCCCAATCATATTGGATTTTGTTTCTAAAAAAGATACATAAAGAACAGTATCATATATATTTTGAATGCTATTGATAATATAAATGTTGAAAACAAGAAAACGGTATTGTTTTCTCTTATTGTGGAAAATGTCTTTGATAATTTTAAATGGCCTTTTATATTCACAATATTTAATATATTGATGAACCGTAGGGATTTTCTTGCATAGGGCATGGCATTTAGAAAGAACAAGAAGCAAAATGGATTTCCTTTTTCCTTCCTTTTTCTTTCAGCTTTTGCAAGGAAGATATGACAAATAATAATAATAATTAGGAAACAAATTGGAAAATTAAGAACTACATAGTGTATGAAGGTGAAGTTGCACTTACAATTATTCATCCAAAGGATTCTTTAGAATTAATAAGCAATATGGTTTGGTATAAGGATATTGAATTAATTAATAAGAACAACACTGAAATGGAGTTTCCCTAAAGAAAAAAGGCAACATTTGCAGCAAATGGGATTCAGTATTACCGTTAAAGCAATTAAGTACTTGGGAACTCACTCAATAAAAACAATGAGTATTTGTAAAAGAATAATGACTTCTAGACTTAGAAAAATATAATTAAAATTATATTAAATTTATTTAACATATATTAACATTGTCCTGGAAGAACAGCAGCAACAAAAATGGATATTTACCAAGTTTCGATTTTCTATTTGTGGTACGAAATCTCGTATAAAACTACCAAGCCAGCTTCTAACTTACATCACAGACTGGATTTTATAACCTTATGTTTGGGTTACTTCTATTTAGAGAGCAGCTCTCCAAACAGCTTGCATAAATAGCTTTAGTTTATAAAAATAGAAATGCAAAAACTATAATACATTATTCAGTCAAAAGCAGCAGATTAAAGCTATGGAATAAACACAGAAAAAGAATGAGTCCAGATTCATTGGCCCTGGCTCAGTGTTAAATATTTATTTAATGAAGCTGAATATACAAAAATGTAATCTGTGGAGAGAGAATAATTCATACAGAATTATGAATTTCTAATTCTTAATAAGACAAAGATGAAATCCTTTAAGACTCTCTCTTCACAATGGTCAGAGTCATCTTCAAATAAGCAGTATAGTTCAAAAGGAATTGCAAAAACAGGGCAGCATATTTGGACTGAGTATGACTAGAATTCTGAACTCTGAAAACTTTGCAGAGTTTGTTTGCAAGCTCTGAAATATTACATAGAAATTAAATAAGTTAAAGAGTGCATGATTAAATCGATGCAGAACTGAAACAGTATAATTGATATGGAACAATGGGAATATAATGCATTTAACCTAACCCTGATACCGAAAGAAAATTGGGTATAAGATGTTTTACTATTAGTACATTATGCCAGTGCTGATTCTCAAAATAGATAACTCATTTTTTAAAAATTAATAATCTGGTTGGAATCACCCATTCCTATTCACCAACAATATTGTAAATAAAAACTAGCTTAAAATCCTGGGTGAATTACATTATTTGGAAAGCTGAAAAGACTTAAATGATATGATTAATTTCCTCTTCTTTTACACTCTGGGAATCATCTATTTGCATTCTAATACGATCAAGAACCTTTCATATTAGAATGCAAATAGATGACCCCAAATTTGTTGCAATTGGTTGTTTGCCATTGTTTAGGAACAGGGGAATGTATAAATGAACAAATAGGTAAGAGGAAAAATTAATTCCTGCTTTCAATAGCAATTCATATTTAAGACACTATGATTTTGATTTCACTTCAGCCTTGGCTACAGATACTTGGGCAACGGTTGGGAAATAAGTTCTGAATACAGAAACAGTTCTTGTTCAAAGGCTTTCAGAAGGAAGCCAAAATAAGCCACTGCAATCCCTCTGTGTCCCCACTCTCTCTTTATCAATCTGTACCAGTCTGTGCACTGATACGGAAGCAGTTCAAATACATGCTGACAGAGATTTTGTTAGGAAGATGTCAATTACAGCTGGTAATTGTCAGTGCTGATCTTTAGGAAAAAGGTAAATCATTGACAAGTCTTTCAACACAGCTATTACTCTCAGTTCAGGGTGACATGAACAGGAAGCTCTCAGATATAAATCAGATGTCCACAAATATATATATTGCTGGAGAACAGAACAGAAATCCTATATTCTCCCATCTCTCTCAACTAAAAAAACCCCTCTTTTGTGAAATTCACAACAAACATTCTAATATTCTTTAAACCATTAACCATCTCATGACTATAGCAGATCTCTGATTCCCCATCCCACATACAGCTCCTTACCTTCCCAACGTACAAAGGATCTGTTCCCGTGTATTCTTCCAGAACGAAGAACTGGTTCCACACCCAACTCCTCTTCATTCGTTGATGAAGAAGCAAGTTGTCCGAGAGATTTTGTCCTTGGCCTTTGCTTGGAGGTCTGCTAGTTCCAGATAATACAGTCGTAATGAGGTTCATCATAAAGCAAAAACTGAGTCCAAGCCACTTCTTTGCATTGTCCATTCTGCTTGATGTCCGCATTTTCATGAGGATTGTCCTCTAAAGAATCCAATAGATAGGTCCGTGAAACTTCCAAATAAAGCCTTTCAGTGATACTGGGCAAGCACCTTAAAGGAGAATAATATCCTGTAAAGTTAAAGAAGATCTACTATCAGTTTTTTTGGGGGAAAAAAAACCCTCTTAAAAAAGAAAAAAGAAAGCTAAGGCATGGAGTATTTGATCTTCCTCATAAAAATGTAGGCCTATTGCATATAAAGGAAGCTTCTCGTTTGAAATGAAGGTAATAATTGACTAGCTAGAGAGGAAGACCTTGCTAGGAGAACTGCTGGATTTCACTGTATTATTAATTGACTTGGGTTAACAGATATTTTCTTTGGAAATATTTATGACCAAATGTCTTTGATAGTAGTTACAAGGAGAAATTCTGTTCGTATAAATTATAATTCGTAACTAATAACTATGCAATGATTTCTCTTTCTCTCCCTCTCCTCATTTGACTTCTGCAACATTTTCATTGTCACCTATAACATTTTTTTGATCAGTGATATTATAACACTTTGATTTAAATTTAGCAGCTGCCATCTATTTTTCACTTTCATTATTTTTTTAGTAGTCAACCTTCAACCACTTTAAGCCAGCTTCACATTTTGGCTTGCTTTTTGAAAAACCAGTGACATCAGCTAATGCAACATTTCTGGAGTTTTGAATGCTTGGTTAATCATTATGTTATCCAAAAAAGGTGTCCTAATACTGAAAGAAACATCTCCCAATACTTCCAATGCATATAGTTGTGGGCATAGACCTTAGTGAGTCAACATATTTTTTTCCTCAGTGAATCTGAAAGACTAATTTGGACCAAGGACCAAGGACCAATATGGTTCTCCATAAGAAGATGTCTCATCAATTTTTTAAAAAATGTTAAATTAGATGGAGATTTTATTTAGGTCTTGCTTTGTGACAGTCTTTTCTTTCACTGTTTTGATGGACTTAATGAGGTGGCCTTGCAAACTTTAGTTGGTCAGTGTAATTCAAGAACATTCTTCTTTTGGGGCAAAAGTGTTAAACTTTGTATTTTTTTGGGTTAAACACATTCTCAGGAAAGATTATTTTTTAAAAGTCCACTAGGATCTAACTCTATGCTCTGTTATGAATTAGGTCAGGGGTATCAAACTCACATCATCACGGCAGCATCACGTGACGTATCGGGACTTTCCCCCCCTTTGCTAAACTGGGTATGGACATGGCCAGTGCATGATGCATCCGGGCTGCAGGCTGCGAGTTTGGCAGTCCTGAATTAGGTTACTGATTTGACTATCAGTTGAATTATTTTAACTACATGAATGAAAAGAGAATTGGCCAATCCTATTTTGCTTTTAAGTAACTTACCTCCCCCCCCCCAAAAAAAACAAATATTATTGTGAAATTGTTATACTACTCTGGAAAAGATGCATATATGTAAGTAGAACTGGTAGCCTAATCATATTTTACAGGCATGAGAAGCCAGTAGATGAACGGACACTGCAAGTCATAATATTGCCTTTTTTTTTTTAAAGTAACAAGACCAATTAATAGGGAAAAAATCAATTGTAATCATTGTTGATTAAATATTGCTGAATGTATTTTGTAAACAGAAGAACAGTAAGAAGAGGAAATGCATTCAACATGTGTTCTGAAAATTTATTTATATTTCTGGATGCAACCTGGAGTCTTTCCCCATTCTTTTAACCTAAGGCTACTGCAGCTATGAGGAAAACAACTCCTATGGTTGAACATTTCATCATCTAAACCTGTGATTTAGGTTGTTTTGTGCTGCCGTGTGCTAGTTGCTGCGAGGAGGCAGAATTAATGGTCTGAATTTTGAAGATGAAAAGTAAAAATGTCCAATTTCCATATCTGTTAACATAGACAAGTTGTGTTGAGCTACACATGTTTAAAACTTCAGATTTGTAACTATATTAGAAATACCCAAGTATTTTGATTCTTTTATCAACGATGCAAGTCAGTAAGTCTTACCAATTCGTTTTCTGACAGAACTGTCAAAATATGATATGATTCACAGTAATATAGATCTCTCTCTTTCCCTCTCTTATCTCCTCCCCTTCCAAACTATTAGGACTATACAAAACTTCAAAGGAACGCTTTAATTCAAAGAAGATTGGATCAGATTGCCTCTATTGAATCATATCTACGAATCGAAACAGACACTCAGTCAATGCAGCAAATCAAAGCAGATAGCTTCAAAGATTTGATGGCTTTCCCACTGCTTCTGTGGTCCTTACAAACAACATACAATGATGCTATAATTTCACTCCCATATAAGGGAAATGCTAAAGTTTGGTGAGAGATGTGACAGGAAATGATAGGCTCTCTAACACTGACCCTGTGTAGCTGATCAGTGGGTTTCATCATCACATCAAACTCTTGGGGTTATCAGAGATCTTTGGTATGGCAAGCCTTACACATTTTCTTGGTTCTTGAGTTGTTGAATATGACCTGCCTTTGATTTGCTTTCCCTTGGGGTAACAGAATGGTGAAGATTTGTGCAACTCCTAGCAGATTTGGGAGCCCAACTCTATTCTCAGTACCCTAAATATGGACTTAACATTGATGAGCCTAGTATGCACTTTTGGCTTTGTCTTCAAATCTATATGGTTGCAAAAGGATTAAATCTTTTGATAATAAATCAATGGGAATCAGAATATTATTTAAGGAATTGGTGTAATTAGTTACTACTTTTAAAAATATGACAGTGGTAAGGTTATGAATAGGCTGACATCTTTCTTTGAGGCCTCTCTCTGGCATACTGTATTTCTCAGTGTATCAGTCTGCCTTTGATCATTAGTTGAAATGGAGCATTGTCCACAAGCCATAAGCCTGATACAACTTTATACTGTGTACAAATCTCACTGCAGCATTTGAAATGCTAGATAACAAGCAGGGGTGGGTTCTACTTACCTTTTACTACTGGTTCGCATCACGCCCATGTGCGTGTCCTTGCTTCGCTCACGCGCACCCATACTCTTCTGCGCATATGCAGAAGCTTCTGCACATGCGCAGATCACCTATGGTGATGTCCGGGTCAGTGGGTGGAGTCTCCCACAGGTTTTACTACCGGTTCTTGCGAACCAGTCCAAACCGGGGGCAACCCACCACTGATAACAGGACAATCAAACAATCAGAGTGTTCCTTCTCTACAAAAAAAACATTGAGGACTCTTTAGTTTGGAAAATAGGTGACAAGCCATGGTATACGACAGTGATGGCTAACCTTTTTGCTGTCATGTGCCAAAAGCGGGGGTAGTGGGGGGGATTGTGTGCATGCATGCCCACACCCATAATTCAATGCGCCCCATCCCCCCACACATGAGCGTATGACCGCCCCTCTCCCCCCCACTTTTGGCACGCAATGACATGGTGGGCCCGGTAGGCCCATTTTTTTGCCCTCCCCAGGGTCCAGAGCCTTTCTAGGAGGCTGGGGAGGGCAAAAACAGCCTTCCCCACTCCCCTGGAGGCCCTCCGGAAGCCCAGAGCCTGTTTCCTGACTTCCGATGGGCCAAGAAGGCCCGAAAATCAGCTGGCCAGCGCGCACATGCATGCTGGACTGAGGTAGGGCAACGCTCTCGTGCCCACAGATATGGCTCCGTGTGCCACCTGTGGCACCCGTGCCATAGGTTTGCCATCACGGGTATACGAAATCAGGCGCAGCATAAAATTGCCCAGTGAGCTAACTGGGAGAAGTTTTGCAAAAGATATGAGAAAGCAATTTTTCACATAGCACGTAATTGAACCATGGAATTCATTACCACACGAATGGTGATGGCCACTAACTTGGATGCTTTTCAAGAGAATTAAATAAATTCATGGGGGATACTTCTATCGGGGTCTATGGTCTTCGAAACTCGGTTGGAGTTACTTCTAGGTTGGAGCTTCCAAATATCATTTGCAAGGAAAAAAAATATCAAAGAGGGATATGTCCCCCATCTCCTAATTGAAAGCTTCCAAAGACATTTGATTAATTCTCTTTAGAGACAACTTTATAAGATAATTGAGATAAAGTTATCTTTAGAAAAATTGAAACATTGTTAATTATATATTCCATTCATCTTGCAAGTAATAGAGATCTCTGATTTCTGCTAAATATAAATTTAACAATGTTCATGCTCTGGAAACTAATTTTTTATTTAATTGTACCAGGCAACAAAACCTGGAAAGGAGAGAAAAATGTAGTAAGCTATTGCTTTTAGATTCCAATAAGTGTTTTTGAATTTGCACAGCTTAATATCATGGCTTCTGCTAAGCAAGGTTTTAATCTTATTACATTTTTATAGTAGAACCATTGACTTAATATTATTGTTATTAAGCCACATATTGGAACCACATGTTATATCTCATGTTTCTGGCAATGCCCAATAGTCTAGCCAGGGGTATATCACTATTAGATTTCTAATAGTTTTAATTCAAAATACATAATCACCATTGTTTTTTTCAGTTGAAATCTTATCAAAGTTTCAAAAACCTCCACTTCCAATGTAGATTTGAGTTTATTGTGTGTGCTTTTTAAATCTCAGTTATAAACTTTAGATAGGTGTGGTTTATTCAATCCATGTAGCACATGCGTTTATTAATGGTGTGTTTGTCCCTTACAAATGTTCCATTTTTCTTCGTTTTTCTTTAACCTAGTTCAGAACCACTGGATTAGGCAATTAGAAATTCTGTAAATGTTAGAATATTGTAAATGTGAGGCAGAGGGTAGAATAATGATTAAAGAAGATGATGCATTATCGTTCACTTGTTTAATAGATAACTTCTATTCCATATCATATTTTTGTTAAAATAAAAGTTTGGTATTTTATTTATTTATTCCTTCCCTAAATTGTAATACATGTTATTATATTCCATACATTCAGATAATCAGACCTGAAAAAAGTGACTTATGACCATTTTTCACACTTATGACCTTTACAGCATCCGCATGATCATGTGTTCAAAATTTGGATACTTGGGAATTGATTCATATTTATGATGGCTGTAATTTTCAGAGGTCATGTGATAACCTTTTGCGACCTTCTGATGAGCAAAGTCAATGGGAAAGCTGGATTTACTTAACAATCATATTAACTTAACAAT